TTCGGTAGCTGTTTGATGTATTGAATTTCCATGCATTTCACGGTTGTGCTGGTGAATAGCTAGTATCTTTCTATTCAATTTTAAGTTGAAACAACCTTAAAGTAAATGGGTGGTCGGTGAAATTGCCACTACCCGACTTTAAAGTTTAAACTGTGTGTATTACTAGACCTATAACTGGAATCTATCCTAAATCTGCAAATTTGTCCTCACTCTCGGCATTCACTCGACGCCTTGCTCTGATCAGGCTATGACGCCGCTTCTTTCGACAATGGAAATTCGGTGCTTCAAAACGAGGAACTCTGTCAGCATGCATTTGAGTTATCCAGATTTGAAAGTAATCCTACCACTATGTGGTAGCTAGTAAACGTCTTGTGGAGATCCCTGTTAGAGGACAAAGATCTAGGGTTTATATGAGTGATTCACCCATTACTGAGGTTGGCAACTTGCACGTAGGTGCGCGTCTGCCGTGGCTATTTCTAACTTCAATTATTTCATTACAGGCCCCCTACAAGAGACGGCTGGAGATTTTTGGTGCATGATATGGAATTACAACGTTCCTGCCATCGTAATGATCACCCGGTAAGCGTATGACGCTTGTATGTGTACGTTATGTGTGAATTGCTACTTCCCCATGTCCTCTTCTAATACCCTTTCCACTAAGCACGAGCGCGTCTTGTTTGCAATTCGCGCTATTACCCATTCCCCACCTCAACTGACTGAAACGACGCCCGAATTCATCGGGAACGTGGCAGCTACATGCGTAAGCATTACTCGGTATACCGCAGTTATGCGTACACTTAGCATTTTCGTACCTACACCTTATGCTTCACCATATGTTGCTATGCCTAAAGAGGTCGATTTTTTGTTGTATGTAGAGCTGACCAGGCGAATGCATTCATCACATCTATTCAAATTTTCTACTGCAAACGCGCTTCATTTGCGTGTTGTGCTATCTTTGAATCTAGCTTCGCAATTGAGGTGAATGAATTTCTTCTCCAAAGTCGTAACGGTGGGCAAAATGGGCCCACTTAATGGAAGATCAGTTCGGTGACGGTGATTAATCTATCAAGCGCCTCAAGTTGGGATTGTCTGCCTCCGGGTTTAGCTACGCATTCGTCCCTTTGGTATCACCTCAGACCTAAATGATAGTCCTTACTCAGATAAAGCCCTGTTGGGAGATCGTATTTGTGCATAAGGAAATCGTTTTTTAAGCCGTTTAAAAAAGAGCAGTGAAGTAGGAGTAGAATGACCTGATATGACTTTAAACATGAATTTTAATGAAATTTAAATGCTCTCGTGTAATGGCATTATTTATTATCAACTGGTTGTAAAGCTACTAGTGTTTGATGTTATTTTGTTTTGAGGGAACTAAACACGTTTCTCGGTGTCAGATAAGCGTGTGACTTGATTGTGTAAAGGTTAATTCGTTGCACTACATCCATGCCGTCAATTTCACAAATACAACCTTCGTGATCTAATTGCTATCTTTAAGCAACCTTTTGGTTAGTCGGTATCTTGTTTAGTTGTGGTATTTAATCTGTGAATTTGAAAAGTGATTTGCTACATTCTCTCACAAAATTCACGGTTCTACGTGGGCTGTTCGCATTTGCTGTCATTGTTGGTTCCGTTTTTACTGCGACCAGAAGCGCAAATCATAAAGATCCGATGCGAGTCTGTCATGTTGTTGGCTCACCTGTCTCAGCTGTTTTTATTTGTCTGGGCTCAATGCTAGGAAGTAGCTCAATTGTGTTTGCAAGGCTGAGCAGCTATCTTGCCCGTAGCTGTGAAATTCAATGCAAAATGTTATTACGGCTTTCAATGCAAATGGTCTTTCATCTCCTGTTCGGCGCACTGCTTTTAAACGGATGATGGGTTTGAGGGAACATAATAGATGATACAACCTACTCAACTAGCTTAGATTGAGAATTTGCCGGGGGGGTAGTAGATTTAGTAGTTAACGCTTAACGATTCACTTGCACAAAGCACATTCTCCTGTTAATGAGAGTTCAATATCCTGTCCTGACTTCACCTCATATTTCTTCTGATCTGTGAAGACAAGCGAGCTTAAAGAGTTTCCTTTTGATCTAGGATTTCTATCCTTATGCACCCATTCTTTGAAATAGCCCATTAGCCCACCCACTGTGAGGCCTCCTAGAAGTGTTTTTTTAGAGAAATACTTATATGCTCTGAGTCTATCTTGCAACAGCATTTGGCTGCTCTCGGATCTTTTTTTGCTGTCATCTGACAAACCAAATGCTGTTTGCAAATCTGGAGATATTGTAGAATGGTGCCATCCTGGCCAGTTGGGATAGGCTTTTAAACACTAAAGTTTGTGTAGCTGTGTATCTGAAAGCAAATGAATACTGGAATAGTTTGTCTGTAATTTATATCTTGGGAACTGCTAGTGAACCTAATGTAGCATCCCGAAGTGGCATTTTTTTTTCTTTCATCGCAGTGCTCGAGCTCCTTATTAAGGCTATCGCTGCGTTTTTTGTCCATGCTCATGGATGTCAACCACTCGTTTAGCTTCAGTTCGCATTTCCATGGCACAGTAGGTTGGGCTTACTGTTTCTTTAGAGATGCACCATCTCCTTTTTGTATGTACACAATAGATGAGGCAAAGCATCCTTACTTTTAGCTGTTAATAAAACCCTACAAAGATGTTGGCATAAGGTGCTGTTTCCCTTATAGGTGGGTTTGGTGTACTTCAACGAGGTTGTAGCTTCTATGTAGTTGGGTGACTATAAGCTTTGCAACCCTAAGAAATTAATATGCAAAATAGGAAGGACTTGCCTTTAGTGAAGTGCTGGGCTCGTAGCGGTAAATTTATGGTGTCCACTTTGCAGAATCCTCTAGTTCATCAACCCCAACTACCCAGGTGGGGAATTATGGCAACTTGTGAGAGTGGGAAACAACATGTCACAGGGCATGCAGCGTGTCTTGTATCGCCGCATATCCTATATCACGACCGGCGAACTGGCGTACTGAAATCCACGGACGTAGGTTTTCCCTCGCGATGTGGACGAGGCTGAACGTTCGCTGTTAGAGCGCATTTTTTGACCACCAGTGATGAATTATTCCGACTTTTGTAGAAGTCTTACTGAATACGGATTCTCAAACTTCGACATCTTTTAGGAGGTGTCCCACCTACCCAGAGTGACGTTTAGCGCCCTGCACTATTATATGCCAGTGATGAAGTAGTCTCACTCCATTTGTATCCGGTCGGTTGTCACCGAATAAATAACCAACTATTTACAGTTGGTGTTAGAAGGGAAGGAAGAAATCGTGGTAAAGACGAGTCTGAAGGAATCAGTTTGATCAGCACTGAGTGTCTCTCACTAGGATAAATGAGGAACGAGATCACCAATGAGAATATGGGCCTTTGCTGTCCATTTTAAGGCTGGAATTTCGGTTGTCAACTCAGTAATGGCCGCCGGAATTAAAAGTGAGCAAAATTCAGGTGTGGGTCGATTTTTCCAGATTCATTCTCCTTAGGAGTTTGTTGTTTCTCCTTGTGCTAGCTAATATGGCAATTTTGGTGCTCTTTTTGGTAATCAATCTATCAGTGTTTACAGGCTGCCAAAATCCCAGTAATTTAGTTTTTATCGAGTTTTACGTACTATGCTCAGCTTTTTTCGTTGAATGCTGTGCACGTACCAATGTACACCTGTCATAGATGCAAGTCACTGCACTTACTCTTCTTATAGGTGTTGAAAGCGCTTTGTTTTTTTATCCTTTATAGTGATATCAATGAATTCTTCCTTTACCTTGCCGTAACTCACTTCTCTTAATGTGAATACGTCATCAAATGAATGAAAGTCTCTTATTTCTAAAACTCTCATGTGTTATAACAAAGTCAAATCTACAATTGGTAACGAATCTCTCTGCATTGTGGATTTCCGTAATCCTCTGAATGCCTAGTGCCAAAAGGAACATATACGTTAGCACCCAATTTCGTGCGCACCTTGCTCTTGTGTTGCCATAGATGCTATGAGTCTCAACGTTGCAAATGCTTCCAATACTGGCCCCCTGTAGAGGGTCAGTCTCTGCGCTTCACGACAATATCCTCGAGTTCTAGCACCTTGGTGGTGCCAGGGACGAGTTGGGGTGGAGGTAATAGCAGCGGAACTGTGGCCTCAAGCAAGAGGAAGCCTCACTCTGGTCGCCCACGCCGCTCTGCCAGTGAGGTGAGCAACTTCAGCAAATTCGTCTTCGAGGTGGTCCACGTCGCCTCACATCCTGGTAGCGACTACACTCGCACCAAGCTCCGACTCAAAGAAGTCAAAGTGAGCCCAAGCTTTCAATTAGCACTCTGTTGATTCATTTTTTTTACTTCCCAACTGTATCTTACAGTCGGGTCAAAGTAGGATTGTCAACCACTACGCCTTTCATTCCTGGCCGGATCATGGGGTTCCATCGGACAGTTCCGCTCTGCTAGAGCTGCTTGCCACCGTGCAGATTGAGTACGCTGCAACCATAAATCGCGAACTAGGCTACACCAACGCCTACGACACCCCCATCCCTCCTCCACCCATTGTGGTCCACTGCAGCGCCGGCATCGGGCGAACGGGTGAGCGTCTTTTCTACTTATTCCACTTAAGTAGCTGTGGTGAAACACCTTAGCGTCCTCATCTCACAAAAGGTACCTTTATTGCGCTGGATGTGAGCACAAAGCAGTTGATGGAGTTGGGAGTGGTTAACATACCACTGACGGTGGCACGAATTCGGTCACAGCGCTCGGGCTGCGTGCAGGTCTCGACGCAGTATCTCTTCGTGTACCGCGCGCTAATAGACTTCGCGCTGACGCACGGCCTTGTGGCTGCAGGGATAGCGGAGGCGGCAGTGCATCTGCTCACGACACCCGCGCGAACCCCGATGCCCTCTCTTCTGCCATTCTCGTCGGTGTCGTCACTGCCTATGGATGCCAGCCTCCTTTCTGTCCTTGCTACCGGCGTCGGCTCCAGTGACGCCACCGATCCCGTGCTCTTTAGCACCCTTATGCGCTGCCTCCACAACCAAATGACCACGTGCGTACTGAGTTGGTTTCTCGTACAATCCGTTTAATAGCTCCAACTTGCTATTGATCTAGGGTGCAATCTTGTTGGACTCTTCTACTTCCTTGCAAATGGCTTCTTATTTAGCGCGAACTACTAATATTCCACTTTTATTAATGGCTTTAGCACGTTTAAGCCGCTTGGCTTATGCCGCCTCCACAGAATCTGTAGTCAACATGGCTAATGGCTTGTCTAGTTAAGGCGTTCAAATTTAGCATTAATCATCTGCATACCAATTTTGTTATCTTTTTGCAAGATGGAGGGTATTTGGCTAACTTAATCAAAAAAATGTTATTTTTTCTCCAACACTATACACTTCAAGCGTTATATGCTTTTGGCTATTTATTGGCCGTCTCAAATTGCAATGACCTTGTGTATCTGAATTCCACATTCAAATGGGTTTGAGTAGTTTATGCCCCAGCTGTCGCAAAACTTACTGTTTTTCAACTTTCGAGCAAAAACGAGCCTTATGACACTCTGACCTGCTTCTTATTACGAGTTAATATTTTACACCGAGTCAGATGCTTGTGGTATCTACCCTTCTCCCGACTGGATCGTGTAATCTCTGCAGAGTTCAAGGTCTTCCTTGGCTCGTCATTCATTATTTGGAACTAGTATTCGAAGTATCTCCACGTATCACTGTTTGGTAGACGTATTCAATAAATTTCCCTTTGAATCCGGAAGCATATTTGCTGGTGGCATCAATACTCACACTTCTGAGTTTAATTATTCGGTTTTAAAAGATCCTAGTTTAAAATGATAGTTGGTTTTGGTTTAGTTGATGTAATTGATTTTGGCTCCAGTGGAGAAGTCGAGAACTCCAGCAATCACCGCCTCTCCACGGAGCTCGACTACGAGACGGAGGAGATGCACGAGGCAACAGAGGAAGCGGAGAGTGATGATGAGCCCAGACCGGCAGAAATTCTCTCCAAAGAGGAGATGGATGAAAAGGAACCGGCGGCGATTGGACCAGAGGTTGATGTAGTATCGTCAGTCGTGAAAGCGGCGGCAGGGCGACCGTCTGGCGAGGAGATGGCGTCAGCGGCGGCAGCGGCGCCCGTCGTGGTGGGACTGGGAGAGTCCCCAGGGTTTTGAAAGCCCTTTCTATTAGAGAGTGCACATATTGTTGCGTTGGTGTATATAAATGGAGACTATGCGGATTCCTCACTTCAATTCGCCCCAACCACCGCTGACTCCCTCCCGCAAATTACCTTTATCTCTTTCTTCGGGACGTTGTCAGATTTGGATTTATGAATGGTACTGACTTGTTATGTCACTTGTACCGTTGCTTATTTCCTTAATACCTAGAACGGTGAGCTTTGACTACTCAGGTAGACTCACAACGTTCGTTTAATGATCTGGTGGAGGTGTATCTGATTAGTTTTACAGCTGTTATTCTACCGGTATAAGGCGCGATTTCGTTCGTACTCCTTGTACGACTACGACCTTGATAGTAAATTGTTTTTGTTGGGACTGGTCCTGCAGCTGTACCAAAATAACATCGGGTTTAAAAAAGAAACAGGATTAGGTAATTCTGAGATGCCTTTTCACTAAGAGACATTTGGTTAAAAGGTTCAAGCTTGGGTTGGGAGGTTCTTCGTCTCGCTTGTTTAGAGGACAATTGCAGTCTTGCAATCGTTGGTTTAGTGTCGAGAGTACTAATGGAATCAAAATGAGCAGTTCTTGTAGGATGGGAAGTGCTTCACTGTAAAATGAAGATCTGATATACCCTGGGAAAGTGCCCGAATTATACTGAAATGGTTTGTGAGCTTTAAATATTACCATTTCTGATTTGACAGCAAATGCGCTCGGATAACTTTTTGGGATACCGTGATCTTAACTATCTTAACATTTTCAATTATTAACCCAACGAACTATTCAAATTATTGGTTCATGATAGACGAAGTTTAGGTCACACTGCCAGTTTATAAACGAGCTTTCCCCTACATGAAGTTCATGCTACATGCAGAATGGTACCTTCTGAAGAATTGGAGCTTGATAAGACTTTCGATCGGCGTTTCATGACCCACAGAATGCGCTTATTACTCTCTGTTATTCTTCCTTTCTCCAAAGTTTTTGAAGGAGAAACATAGAAAAGCAAGAGTAAGGACTTTTGAGCATCAGATTGAACTTTGGCACAACCTGAGGCCACGTTTGTGCCAAACATAGGACCTATTTTGGACAATCTTGCGCTTGGCACTTGACAGCATACATATGCTCACATCCTATTGAATGTTACCATTGAAGTGCCCTTTCTTATTGCAGACCAAAAAATCACATCAATCTCCAATGTGGGAATTGAACAATCTTTATCTTGGACTTGAAAGCGTGTAGTGAATTACTTTCTCCAGTTATAGTCACACAGGAAGAAATGCGTCTCTCAAAATACAATAATCAGATTCCTTACTTCTTTGCTTGAACAATAAATTACTTATGAATATAAAACTAAGCGATGGAAGGCAGGACTCTATATCTTTCCTGTACCTTTCACTTATGAACTCAATTTGAATGGAAATTGGGATCGATATACAATACTTGGAGTGGCCTCGAGTCTGTTTGTCTTGGAGTTGTTTTTCTCTCGGTTTAAGTTCCTTCAGAAAAAACTTCTGTAACTAACCATTTGCGTTTGGTTTGTGGAATAGTGTGTTGTATGCCAGTCATAAGGCTCCGAATCAGCAGACAAGTTTCTTTAAATCACTTTTATTGGTTGAAACTACCGTAAGGAAAGCAAATCTGGTTTGCTTTAGCATGTGTTTTAAATAACAAACGCATACACGGTCACAAGCGTCACCCACCATTCCGATTCGCTTTTTATGCAGCTGCTAAACGATGGCGAATAAAGAAATGTAAAAGAAGGCGTAGGGGAAAGGTTAGGCGGAAGTTTAGAAGGAAGGAAAGAGAGGGTGGGTTCTACAAAAGGATTGCAAGTTAACCGAATAAGTATCAGAGCCACACAAAGGCCAGCGGTCTTACTTAGCTGTGGAGGATTGGCTAAGGTGCTCCAGCTCATTGCATGAAACTTCAACATCGGCGGTACTTCAGTTATTATGATTTGTATCGTTGTTATTGCTGTATTTTGCAATCTCGCCTCAAATCTCAATTTCGAAACGCTACAAACTGCCGAAAGTTTGGGGAAGCAGAGATCTTTGTGTGCCGGTGCACTTGAGAATGCACGAAAACGCATAAATATCAAACCAAGTTGGCAAAAAGTAACTTTTTACACAAAGAAGTGGAAGGGACAACGAAATGCATGAATATAGGAGAGGAGAGGGTGCGTAGCAAGTACAATGGCTGATGCTGAAATCGATGGGGAAACTTTAGAGCTGAAGTGGGATTTTGAAAGATCCTCCAAGGGGAAGAAGCATCACCCCGCATGCACACACGGCTACGATAAATAGAAAAGGAGGTGCGTGTGTGTTTATGAGCTCTTATTTAGCGGAGGAAGAAGTTTAGGTGAAGGAGTGAGACACACTTATTAGTATTTCACTATCCTAAGTAAGTTGGAGTTATATGGCGGACGAGAAGGGAGTTTTGGGTTGAACTCTGGTGTATTGCTGTTGACGTCCACATTTTACTTGTACGGGTCGGTTACACTCAGAGGAACTGAAACGAAAAAAGACACCTTGTCATTCGTGAAGAACTTTTGATGTGGACGAAATACTTCTTTTCACCACATCACTCTTCCGGTCAACCATACATTACCTACATTCAAATGTCATATTTTTCCACTACCAAAATTGCACAATTTATATACAAATTGGGTTTTTTTATGCATACGAAACATTGTTATTTGTGAATATTTCCTCATTTGTGTTTAATTTGAGAGTTTAAGCCGACGTCTACAAAGCGCATTCTATACGAATGCCTCAAAATACTTGTTTTTGATTTTGAAATAAAAAGAGTGAAATGGTAACTAATTTACCATCAGTGAATTTCCGAGCAATAAGTTTCAGTATCTCGTCTATAATTATAACTGGCACTGAGAACTCAAATACCACCAGCCACTCTTCGAAGGACAGCGGAGTCAATTGGAAGACATTCTGAAAACAACACAACAAACGATTTAGCGATTCGACTTTTAAAAACAAGAACTTATACGAAGTTAAGAAGTCAGTATTAGTAATGGTGACAGAATCGAGGTAAGTCAACTAACTCACCGCGAGGAAGTCGACTTCAAGAATGAAGAAGTGGAGACCGATGCTCATCATCATGGCACCCAGGAGCCAGTAGTTGGCCCACGGTGGCACCGCGAAAAGCGATTGATTCTCAGACAAACTGCACACAGCAAATAGCGAGAGGACCACGATTAGTCCGCATCATGGAACCCATCGTAAGATAGGAATGCAGTTCATGCGATGAGGGGACTCAAAATCCA